GGGGAGGGCATCTGGCAGTGCCAGCTGTCCCTTGTGTCTCACTGGGATGGGTTACAAGCAGCACCTTGGAAATAAAGGATTTGACATGTGTGATGGGAAGCAGCAGTGAGTTTTGCTGTGCAGCTCGCTTTTCCAGAAGATTTCGTGTTACCTGTTCTGCACGCAGCCCCTGCTTGGCTGGGGAGAGCTGTCAGGGTCAGCAGCAAGTTGCATCTTGCTTTTGACTTCTGGCGTGGGGTTGTCACTCTAAGGGACAAATTGCTGTCACCACCCCGCCCAGATTTCCTGGGTGCTTCCCTCACCACAGTGAAATTGTTTGTGTGCGTAGGGGAAAAAAGAACGCACATGGACGTGGCCAAGGAGAGAGTTTAAAGTAGAAACCAAATGTGGCTGTCCCTGTCTTTGCTCTTTGTAATGAGTAGCAAATGATGTGGTGGTTTTTTATGATTTGGTTTGAAATATTCATTGTGTGGATAGGACAAGTTTTGCAGCTTCTTCTTGTTGATTGCGGGGGAGCCGAGTGCTCGCTCCCTGCTGCTATGCAACCTTTAATCCAGGCACAAAGAAGGCAAGTCACGATGAACGCATCTCCCTGGCTCTTCAAAGCAAGAAGCAGCCAGGCCTGCTTGGGGGGAGGAAAAAATAAATCACGGGGAGCAATTAGGCAGACTGATGTGACTGTGTTGTGTTTTATCTGGAGGCCCTTCAGATAACATGTAGACCATCTTTGGGGAGGGATATCCATGCCTGACCCAACCCTGGCACCCCATCTGCCTGCTGTCCGTGCCCACTGCCAGCCCTTGGTGCCTGGACCAAGCTTCCCAAGTCTGTCCACTGCCCCTCGGGCCCGTCACTGATGACAAATAGCTTCTAACGCTTTCCTTGTGTAAACTCACGCCGCTGCTCTTCCTGGTCCCTGCCTCACCGCGTCGCCCTGCCCATGGCAGAACTGGTTCAGGGCGTGATTACGTGGCCCGGCTGGGCAGGAGTGAAGCATGTGCTGCCTTTGGCTCTGTGGTGCATGTCTGCATCCCAGCTTGCCTGGGCTGGAGGCTGGTATTGCGTGGGACGGGATGGACTGGCCCTGCTTTCTGCTGCCAGCGTTGCCTGGTGCTGCAGGAAATAAAGCAGCACTGCTGGGTGTTGCTGTGGCCCATGTAACTGCTCCCGAGCAGCTGGGATCTGGAGCAATCATCCAGAATTGAGCAAGGTCTCTTACTCCCTGCTTCCCTTCTGGCTGCAAGGCTGGACTCTACCACTGACTGCAACTTTTGGCTTTTTTTTTTTTTTTTTTGGCATGTAACAGCCCAGTTTGCAGAGAGCAGTGATGAGTGGGGATGCCTGGGGGGTCTGGGGATGGAGCAGGACCTGAGCAGCCTGGGCTGAGCTCTCCCTGCACGGCCAAATGTTTCAGTCTGTGCTGGCTGCTGTCCCATCGTGCCGGGGCCGCATCCTGCGGTCACTCGCGTGACCCAGCGGGCACCCGAGGAGCCGTCTGACAGGAAACGAGCCCGTTTGCAGTAGCGATATTTCTCTGCAGTTTCCACTTGGCCCTGGGCTGGCTCCTCACTGGCACTGAGGGATGGGATTGGGAGGACTGGGGCTACTGGGGCGAGGGTGATGCCTGGGGTGGTGACAGCCCAGAGGAACCTTGGGGCAGGCACCACATAGCCCAGCTGTAAGACAGGAGGCTGATAGATAATTTCCCTGCCTCCGGTGCTCCTTCCTGGCAGGTACCTAGGGTGCTGGGTGCAGCTGCGGGGCTGGAGAAAGCAAAGGCTCTTTTTGGGAAGGGATGGACAGGTTGTGCAGAAGCAACAGGAGCTCCTTGGGTCATGTGTGGGAATTAAACCAGCTGACTGCTTTCCAGTTGAAGGCAGAAGGCTTGTGTCCTTGGTGAGGGCTTGTGCTGGTGCTCCTGGCTTGCAGGACCGTGCTGGGGTTTTCGCTGGAGCAGGAGGTCCGGATTGTGCAGGTGCCTCATCCTGGGAAGCTCCTGAGTCCCCATGGCACCTCTGTGGCTCTGAAACCTTTGGGGTGGGCAGTTTGCTGTCAGCCCGTGGGCTGTGCTCCTGCCTGATGGAGCATAATCAGTTATTTTTAAAATTCTTTTTAATAAAAAATTTCCAATTAAAAAAAAGAAAAGAGAGAAGTTGGGAAACTTTTGCTTCCCTGACAAGAGCAAGACGTTCCCTTGCAGCAAACTGTGTGTGGGTTAAAAGTGGTTACCCTTTTCTGGCCATCCTCTTGACAGCCCTAGTCCGGAACACCAAGGCTGGGGACACACTGCCAGTGTGTCCTCCCTGCCCCGCTTGCCACCCTTAGAGCAGGGCTACGCAGGTCCCTTGCCTGATGTGAAGCGGGTTGCATCCTGGCTCTGCCTGCAGGATCCCAAGCCCATCCTGCCTGGGTGTGCCTGAGTCGGGGGCAGGAACCTTCGGGATGAGCCAGTGGGAACATGCCGTGCCCCTTTGACCTTGGGACATGCCGGCTCTGTGATTGCTTGGGCGGGAGTACGTTGCCCTATAAAAGTCGTGGAGGGGACCTTGCTCTGGCAGTATGAGCTAGTCTGTCTGCGCGATGGCTGATCCCAAGGAAGCTGAGAAGGGGGGTGTTGAGCTGGGTCCCCCTAATGCAGCTCCCTCCGCAGGGACCATGTCCACCCGACGCCTCCGCAGCGAGGACTACAATGACTACAGCTCCACGGATGTCACGCCGGAGGGAAGCCCGCCCGATGGCATGAATGGCTTTGCCCACCCAGAGTCCTACCAGCGCTTTGGGGAGACCAATGGGACAACGTGAGTGATGCTTCCCTTGCTCCTGGGCTGGCCCAGCATCCGGGGAGGGCGTAGGGGGTAACAGCGGCTCCCTGCCAGCTTTGCTGGAGGATAGTGGAGCTGTGGTTTTATGGGGACTCCCTCCTAGGGATGGCGAGGGCAGAGCTGGGGTGCTGGCACCAAGCGAGCAGCTGTCCCAGTGTCTCGCTCTCTGGTGGAGCTGAGCTTGCCAGCAGCGGGAAGTGTTTAATGCTTTTCCCAATATTCCCCTGCTCCAGCTTAGTTCAATGGGGAGCCGTGGAAAGCAAACAGCATGTCCAGCTTCAGAGGGTCCACGGGCATGTTGCAGCCATGTCCTGAGGGCTTCATCATGCCTTGTTCACTCAGGTAGGCAGAGGATGCTGTCTCTGCTCAGGGGAGACTGATCCCTTCAACTCGGAGACCTTCTTGTTGTGCAGCCCTTTGGTGCTGAGCTGCGCTCGCCCTGAGTTTTGCCTTGAAGGCAGTTTTGCAAATGCCCACCTAAAATCTGTTTTTTGAGTCTTTGCCTCCAGTCCTTCCTTGATGCCACTGGACTGAGCTGGGTTCAGGGGACAGGCCCTGGACCTCCATGTGCATTTCCTGCAGCAGCTCAGAGCGGCACCTGGACCCTGAGCAGGACGAGCTGAGGGCTGAAACTGCATGGTCTGGACGCGGGTGTCTCCTGGTGGTCACCTCTGCATCTTCTCTCCCTCAGGTGGTACCAGACCCTGATCCACCTCCTGAAGGGGAATATAGGCACGGGGCTGCTGGGGCTGCCTCTGGCTGTGAAGAACGCCGGCCTCCTGGTAAGGCAGCTCTCAGCCCTGCTGTGCGGGAGCTCGTGGGGCAGGGTGACCTCAGGGTGTCGGGCAGCTTACATGGACGGTGTTAGGCTGGACTCCCTGCCAAGATGCCTCTCAGTGCTCGGTGGCCTGTGAGCATTTGGACCCTGGGCTCTGTGGCTTGTTTCGTTTGCTGCTGAGACTGTTCTTGCCGCTCCTGTGTTGAGCTGGCTGGTCTTGAGTTCAGTGTGTGAGTTGGGGCTGTGGCTGCTTCTGCTGGGGTCAGGCAGGGTGCTGGGTCTGTGCCTCCACACCCAGCTGGGTGTTACCTTCCGGCCCCTCTGGCATCAGCCCCTTTCTCTGAAAACGCTCTGCTCGGGTGGCATCTCCTCGCCCTGGTCCTGTGGATGGCAGGTTCAAAACGACCTCCACCTCTGTTCGTCCCAGCTGGTCCGTGCTGAGTGTGCTGTGTGCCTCCTGAGGGTCCTACGAGCACAGCACGCATGTGATGAGCCCCATCGGTCAATGGTTAAGGCTGGTGATAGGAGATGGCAGCATGCTTCTCTCTGTGGGGTTTCATGTGGGCTGGCCCACCCTTGCAGTTCTGGCTGTGTCAAGATCAGTGGATGTGCTGCAGCTTTGCTGCCTGAGGGCTGACATTGCTCTTGGAGGTCAAACAGCAGCCCCCAGCCACTGTCACATGTCCCCCTGACTTCTGTCCTGATGCCCAGCTCCTCTGTGTCTGCATCATGCCTGCCTGTGTGAGAGGTGGGAGCACCTTGCTGCTCTGTACTGGGTTTCCTCACCCAGCATTCCTGTTGTTCAGATTGAAAAAATAAAAAGAATTAAAAAAGAAAACTTCCTTCCTTTGTCTGGACCACGACCTCTTTGTCACTGGTATAAGAGCGATGCGCAAGACAGTTTGAAAAACAATCCTGGAGGTGCTTTGCTACACCCAGACTGCCCCAACTTGCTTCTTTTGTATCATCGCTGCCAAGCTCGTGGCATTCTGTGGGGTTACTTGGTCCTGGGGGGCTGGTTCCCAGGAGCAGCACCTCAGCTCCAGTTCAGCCTCCAGCAGTGTTTTGGCTCACGGAGCCCATGGTTTTTGTCTGGAAGCCATCGTGCAGCTCTGCATTTGGCCGTCAGAGTGCAGCCTTCCGCATCTCTTCCCCTGCAGCTGGGTCCTCTGAGCCTGCTGGTGATGGGAATCGTGGCTGTACACTGCATGGGCCTCCTGGTGAAATGTGCCCATCACTTGTGCCACAGGTAAGGAATGACTCCCCTTTTCGGCACTGCTGCTCCTACAGCTCTTCCTTCCTTCCCAACAAGCCCTGTGTTTTTTCTGAAGGCTCCTAGCAGCAGGTTGCCTGTGTTAAAGCCTCAGTTGGGAACTGCCTCTGGGCTTTTCCACAGGAACTGTTTTCGCATTAATGCCATTGTTTGCCTTGGGAACCAGCAGACGAGGCTGATGTGACATCCCTTTTCTCTCTCTCTTCTCTTGACAGGTTCCAGAAGCAGTTTGTGGACTACGGAAATGCCATGGTGTACGCACTGGAGTCAACTCCCAGTGCTTGGCTGCGAACACATGCGGTCTGGGGAAGGTACCTGTTCCCCACCTCCAGTCAGGGACTCAGCTTTAAGCCCATCATGTGCTGCAGCCGGGACAGAACAACTGCCTGGTCTCTCAGCTGTGTTGGCAGATGAGCACAAATGACATAACATTTTATTGGATTCACCTGCCCTGAGTGTTCCTGGGGGATAACATTGAGGTCTTTGACTCAGTCCTGTCCCCAACTGGATATGGCTTATGCTAAAGGGGTGGGAGAAGTAGGTCTCCACAGCATAAGAGAGGGGTAGATAACATGTACTGCAGTGTTGGCCCATTGTTAAACACTGAGCATGTCTAATGGCTGCTCCCAGGGATGCTGCCAGCCCTGTGGATGTCCCACATCGCATCGCACAGGTCATTACACATCAGATGCTGGGAACATCCACCTCTTCTTGTATCTGGAAAGTGTTGTCTCCAGCTGTGGCAATTCAGCAGCAAACTGGAGATGCTAAACCCAAGGGGGTGACTTTCCTCCTGAGGCTGGTCCTGACCCTGTGGTGGGGATGGGAGCTGGGGAGATCAGGGAGCCTGAGGGCTGCGAAGTTAGATGGAAATATGATCCTTTTCCCTGAGCACTGAGGAGAAGCGAGCTGGGTGTGATCTGACCCGCACATCTCAACCCCTTGGGAGAGCAGCATGGCTGCAGCGTTCGAGTGCAGCCCCAAGCAACCTGAGTGGGCTCCTGGTTCTGTATGGCCTGGCTAACAAACGGCCTTGTTTCTTTTCTAGGCGTGTAGTGGAACTCTTCCTGGTCGTCACTCAGCTGGGTTTCTGCTGCGTGTACTTCGTCTTTATAGCTGACAATCTGAGACAGGTTAGACTTACTCCCTCCTTCGTGAGCAAGGGGAAGGCGAGAGGGGGTGTGGAGGTGCTTGGGTTTTCCTTAGCTCCTGTGTCGCAGCCCTGTTTTCCACCAAAGGTCTGGTTTTCCGTAGCTAATACTACTCAGGAAGGTACTGCTCCTCTGCCTGAGAGTTTTGGAGGATCAGTTTTCCTGTTCAAACAGGGCAGGTTTGAGAGTCCCTGTGAGCTTGCTCCGCGTGCAGAGGCGCTGGAGCCATCCGTCTCAGCCGGGGCAAGCGGGGCTATTCCTAGTGAGGGAAGGCAGGAGAGTGGTAAAAGCAGAGGGATTGTGCCCCTGATGTCCTGCCCACCTCGGTTAATTGGTTTATTGATACTCTGTAGATGGTAAAGTGTAATGGGTACCAGGACCTGCTGTGAGCCTCTCCCCTCTTTCTTGGACCTATTTGCATTCCAGTTTCTTGTCTCATCCTGTGGCTCTGGAGCTTATTTACATCTTTAGGGCAAGAGTTTCCTCCTGCCAGGTGTTGTGAGGAAATAAACAGAAACCCTGGACCGTTTGGCTGGCTCCTGTGCTGTGAGAAACTGGGAATAACAAGTCCCTGTTGCCACCCTCCACTGTCTCGGTGCCTCGCAGGCACTGCTCGGTGTTATTCCCCCGTGTGCTCCTGCTCTTCTCTTGCAGCAGTGGTCAGGTTGCTACTGCCACAGCCGTGCCCTTTGTCAGCTCTTCTCTGATGCCCATCAGCTTCAGAGGTGGCTCCCGGGGAGCAATGGGGCTCTGCCGGTGGGTGGCGAAGGATGGATGGGCTCTGTCTCTGCTCCCGGAGCAGCAGCCGAGGAGATTCCCTTTGTGCTGCCCTGTGGGATGGCTGGGAGGAGTAAATGGTTGAACATTGGTGATATGATGCCAACAGATCTGAGAATCAGGAGCGTATATGGAGCTGGGCTGCTGCTGGGCCTCTGGTCCCTGCAAAAGGCTTCCTGTTGTGATTTCAAAGTGGGCTTCTTTCTGCTTGGCCCCTCGCAGCAGAGACTGAAGGCTGGCTCAAGCCGTAAAGGAAATGTGCAAAAACTTGCAAATCTAACCCATTCTAGGCCACAGCTGAGAAACTCCTTGGCTTCAGTTTTGGAATTTTTTGGGTGGGGAGAGAGGAGCATTGCTTGTTTCTTTTTGTGGTGGGAATGGCGTGTTCGATGGGGAGCGATTGTGCAGGTGGTACCTCAGGCGAGGTGCTGCTCTGCTGGGCAGAACTTTGGTTTGGAAAATGGCTCTGGAGCAAGCTGCAGAGAGGCAGGGCAGGCTGGGGCTTGAGCAGTGCTGCCCTGTGGGTGCATGGCTCTTGGCTGCCCTCTCCCACAGAGGATGCTGATTTGTGTAGAAGCTCTTTAGCCTCTTCTCCGGGCAGGACTTGCTCTGGAGCAGGTTAAAATAGTTTGCAGGCAGTCCTTTGCTGCAGATGGAACCTGATAACCGAACCAACTTGGTCGTGGTTGTATGGGTGATCCACAGCATGCCCGTGCTCTTGGGAGGAATGGCTCAGCCACCTGGTTCCTGGGGCAGAACTCTCTAGAGGTGAGCACGTGGCCTGGAGTGCCTTTGGAATGAAAGACCCAAGGAAAGGATGATTTCCCCTGAAGAAAGTGAAGTCAGGGGCCAGCAGTAGCTTCCAGATGTCCTTGCATGGGAACAGGGTGCTGAGCAGCTGAAGGAATGCGTGACATTGAGTGTAAAGTGGTGCAGCAAGAGGAAAAAGGAGGAAATAGCACTTAATGCTTCTTTCCTCTCTTCTCAACTGGCCATGTGGGCAGCGCAAACCAACCTCCACCCTTGGCGTGCTCGGCTGCTGGGTTCATGTGCTCAGCGAGCCTGGGCTTGGGCAGGTTTTGCTGTCTCAGCTCAGATGCTGTATCTAGTCCCACCTCTTCTCCTAGCCAGGTAACAGGGAATTGCTTCAAAACTACCTGAAAACCCATGTTGCTTTGATTTTAATCGGCTAGCTGTGTTTGAAAGTGAATTGGTGGGGTAGTATTCTGACCCACCTGGGACGGACTACTGGGATCTGTGGCTCAGACCTATGCGATGAGGTTCATCGAACCTTCCTGTACTTCCCCAGGTCGTATCTACAGCAAACGGGACCACCAATGACTGCAGCTTGAACAAGACAGTGACCTCGACCACCACCATGGATTCCCGGCTGTACATGCTTTCCCTGCTGCCTTTCGTGGTGCTGCTCACGTTCATCCAGAATCTCAAGGTCCTGTCAGTCTTCTCCATGCTGGCCAATGCAGCCATGCTTGTCAGTCTCATCGTGATCTACCAGTACGTCGTCCAGGTATGTGCGTTGGGCTCCTCTCTGTCATTTCCGTGATGTCCCATGTTTTGGCAGGTGGAGGGAGCTCGACAGTGGGATATTTGCACGCCGTGGGGTGCTGCTCATTCCCATGTGCATGGTGGTTACTCTCTGCTCCACAGGACTTTCCCTGCAGCGTGAGGCTGCAACAGGGAGTGATGGGAGTGGGCCAGGTCCTCCCCATCCTCCTTGCATCTGAACTGTGTGGGCTTTTTTCCAGAACATTCCTGATCCCAGTGACCTGCCTCTAGCAGCAGCCTGGAAGACCTACCCTCTGTTTTTTGGCACTGCGATGTTTGCTTTTGAAGGCATCGGGGTGGTAAGTTGGCGTGTGGCAGTGCGGCTGCCTGCATGGGAGGCTCAGCCCGTGCTGGGGCTCGCCGCAGCACCTGCTTTGTGTTGCAGCTGTATTTGCAGATGAACTTCTCTAACAGTAGCCTAAATTCTGGATGATGCTTTTAGCTTTAGCCTCCAGGCTATCTCCTCGGTCAAACCCTGTTGCTTCCATCTGAGGCTAGAGGAGCACATGCTCCAAACCTTAGGAGGTTGTTGGTGCTTTGAAGGTGACTGTATCTGGCAGTAGATTGGACTCTACTGGGAATGGCACTGGCACTGGCAGCTGCCTTTGGCTCTGCTGGCTGACCTGTGGAGTAGGAATCATCCTGACTTTTGTTACCAGGCTGGATCCTGAAGTGGGAAGCCAAAAAGCATGACACAAAAAAATGTGATCCATTCCTCCCCACCTTGCTGCAGAGGTACCATGATCTCCCTCCAGGAGCTGTGTGGCCCCAGCTTGCTGTGGGGCTGGATTTGCATGTGCCTCTTTTACTGGATGCTGTAAATAGACTAGCTGTGTCTGCGGAAAAAAAAGCTGGACGAGTGGGTGGAGAGCTTAATGGCTCACTAAGATGTTGTGGGTTGTTTCTGGGAGCAACCTTTAAAAGAGGAAAAAAATGTTTTAATCTCTTAATATAAGCTGGCTATGTAAACACAGAGCTGGTGAGGGCCAAATCCATTACAGGAGGAATGTTTACTGAATGCTGTGCCCAGGGCAGAGGGCTCTTGCCGGCAGTGAGGCGCAAATGCTGTCTTCCTCGTGTGACTTGGAGGCGGGAAAGCAAATAAAAGCTGGTCCTGCCTCCTCAGCAGCTCTGCCACTGTGTCTCTTCTTGAAATCCCCACCACTCAAGGACAGCTATAAAAATATTTGCTGAAGCCTTATATTTGACAGCAAGTGTTAGTAGAATAGAGGTGAGGAACTTTCCTCTGTCCTTTCTTTTTCTTTTTTTTTTTTTTATTGTCCTGCCTGTTTGAAATCTGTCCAGACAAATTTGATAGGAGAGGAGAAAGTGTCTTGGTCTTTCCAGGGTCTGCTGCAGAAAATAAGACAATTTATCATGATGAGCCTGTCCCCGTGGGCATGGCTGGGCTGTTTTGGGGTGCAGAGTGTAATGCAACCAAGGTATGGGGTGAATGGCACCATCCCAAGGTGCCAGGCAGCAGTGGGCACAGCTCCTGCCAAGAGGAGGGAACAGATTCCTTCGTTAAGTCAAAGGCATGAGTGACCCTGCTGGGGGCTTGCTGTGCCAGGTGTGAAGGTCTCAAATAGGAGCACAGAAATCAGATCTCCAGTACAGTGGCTTTTTCAGCTGGGCTCTCTGGGCTCCATGTGTGACTATCCTGTCCCCTGGCATGGCGAGCTGTGCTTGGCCATGGGGCTGCCCCTCCTGCTTTCTGGGGCTGAGGGGGAGACAGGAACAGGAGTGACCTGCTGCTCTGTCGTCATCCTCCTCCTCCTCGTCTTCCAGGTGCTGCCTCTGGAAAACAAGATGAAGAGCCCCCGGCAGTTCCCAGTCGTCCTCTATTCAGGGATGGCCATTGCCACAGTCGTGTACATCAGCCTGGGTGTCCTGGGGTACCTGCGCTTCAGGGCAGACATTCAGGCCAGCATAACGCTCAACTTGCCCAGCTGCTGGTGAGTCTCCGTGGGGAGCTGAGGGAGGAGGGACCCAGCCACAGAAGTGTGAGAGGGGGCAGTGGAGTACGTCGCTCCTTAGGAGAACTAATCTGGGTCAGCATGGGGAAGAATCAACCATGCTGTAGCCAGATTGTTGTCTGATGTACAGGGTGGTGAGGCTTCTTGCTGCAGTGTCTCAGCTTGGTCTTGGCTCTGCAGCTCGTGCTGCTTCCTTGGGGTCCCTCGTGGTCCCTGCCTGGGTAGGTGCAGCTCCTGCCTTTTGGAGCCTTGCAGGTGTTTTTGGGGGCTAAGCAGCACTCTGGCTGGCAGATGTTGAACACATCTCCCATGCGACCGTATCAGAAGGTTGTTGAATTGTGCAAAAACCCCTTCTTTTCCTCAAATGAAGCACATGGAAAAACTCACCCAAAGCTGGGATCTCCCAGAGAGGGGATGAGATGTGACATCTCCACGTGTGGGCTGCATTCCTTGTTTGCAGCCCTGGAGCTCAAACTCCCACTGCTGGGCTCCGTGTTGTGCCTGGATGCAGCTCACCTCGAGCCAACACTTTGCCTGTGAGCGCTGGTGCCGTGAGGATACCCCTTCCTCACCCTCTGAGTTGCAGAGCTCAGCTCTCTAAACCTGTCTGTCCTTCTCCGGGATCTGTCGAGGCCTCTCGAGATGCTCTGGTCGCTGCCTGGAGCCCTGCGGAAACACACATGGCCTCACCCTGTCCCTGCTTACCTGGAGGGGTTTGTTTCTCCTCTGCTGGGGCTGGTGGCTGTTGCAGCAGCTGGCCTGCGTGCTGGGCTGTCCTGAGGGTGAGTGGTTGCTCAATGTCGTGGCTCTGTATTCTTCCTGGAGGAGAACTGCAAAGTCTCTCTTGCCTTTGAGACAAGAAGTGTGGAGCATGGAAACATTGAGAACAGATGCCTCTTCCAGCTTGTTCCACTTGGGATTATTTGGAAAAGTCCTGAAAAACCCATCTCTGTTGCTTCTTATGACAGGCTGCTTTGGGGTGTCTGTGTGGCAGGACATGGTGCTGGCAGGTGAGGAGGAGCTGGAAAGAAGCTCTGCTCTGTGTGCTGCAGAAGTACCGATTGCACGGCAGCACCTCCTGCGCCTTGGTGTGCAGCTGGGGCTGAGGGCTGGCTTTGTTGCCATGAGGCTTCTTGGAAAGCCGTCTTGCGGCAACACGTTTTTTCTGGGTTTGCCTGGGAGCTCTCTGAAGTTCAACAGCTTCTCTTTGATATCTCTGCTGGCTTGAAATCCTCCAAGAGACCAGAGTGAGAACTGGAGCTGGGGGTGCCTGTTCCCCTCCCCAGCCCACCCTCTCTGCTGTTAGCAGCTGCCCAACACCGTGCAGCGTGACTCCCCACTGTTGAAGTGGACTTGGGCAAGATGCAAATTTTGAGTCACTGGTGGGCTTCCACATGCTGACCTTGTAGAGCTCCGCAGCTGGGGCTCTGGAGAAAGCAAAGATTAAAAAAAAAAACAAACAGAACTTGTTTTTGGTTTAATTATTGCTGTGTGAGTTTCTTTCAATTAGAGTGCATGGACTTCTGTTCGTGCTGGATCTGTGTAGTGACTGAACTGCTGGGTGTTGGTGTGGCAGAAGGTCCTGCTCCTGCTGAGAGCCTTGCCTTGTCCCTTGCAGGGGCTGGGAGCTCTGCTGGGTCCCTGCTCTCAGCGAGAAGGGATGGTGCTGGTGGAAAAACATGCCTGTGTTGTAGGGAGATCTGAATCCCACCATATGTGAATCCCATCAGCTCAGTGAGCTGAAGTGAATTGTGGAGTGGATGAAATGCTGCTGCTGCTCCTGAAGGTAGAAAGCAGGTCAGATCCAGGTCTTGGGCTCTGCAGGGCGCTGGGTCACACCACAGCCTGTAACATCTGCCGACCTGTAATGCTGCCTGGGGGCTTCTGCGGGAAACCTCAGCTTTGTCTGCTCTAAAGGGTGGCATTCCCTTAGAAGAAGGTAACGGAATTTCTGTGACTCGCTAGGCTACAGAAAGATCCGATTTCTTTTTAGGAGTATCCACACTTTCTGTCAAAGTACTTTTCTGAAAAAAACTGTGGAGTTTTTTGGACAGGGAGAAGAGAATAGCCCTTTGGCAGCAGTGCCTGGGGAACCCCTGGTGTGTGGCAGGGCTCCCGGGGGCTGTCCCCGGGGAAGGCGTGCTGCGGGCGTTGTGGCTCGGTGCGCAAAACGCTTCCATGTTCGTGCTTGTCGCTTCCTGGCAGAACATTTGATGGAGGCTGTAGCTATTAGACGTGGAAATGGGTTACCTAAAGTAAGGGCTGGGATACTTGGGCTAAAGCCTTAAGTGCTGTATTTGCTGCGCATTAAACTGTAGGTGGTGGGTGAAGACTTGTTCTTGAAATGAGTGTTTTGCCCATCTCGCTCTGCCTGCGGGTTTTCTCCCCAGCAGTAGGAGGCGTTGGGCTGCAGAAGCTGGTCATAAGGGCTGTGAGTGAGAAGTTGTGGGGTTTGCCTGCAGTGTGGAAGACGAGATGAGGATTGTGGGGGAGATGCTGCGTCCTTCCTTGGCTGTAGCCATCACCCAGAGGTATCTAGAAGAGATCTGATGTGTGTGTTGGGAGTCGTTGAGTTACAGGATGACTAGGGACTTTTCCAGCCTTGTTTCTTTATAACCACAGCTTCCTCAAACGAGGAGTGTGTCGGTTCCCAGTGCCCAGATCTAACCACGGCCTCTGAAATACTGCAGTGCTGTGCAGAAATCCCACCTTGTGTCCTCGGAAGGGTTGCTTCACCCCACCATCTGAAGAGTGAGGAAATGCTGTAGTGAGGGGGAAGGTGTTTGGTTGCGTATGGCCAGTTGGAGGTAGGTAATGACAGAGCTTACGGTCAAAGGAGCGTGAGCCGTTTCTTGCAGCTTGTCGGGATGGCCTGGTGTGGCTCTGCGGGTTAAGCAGGTGGTTGCTGTGGTTGACAGAGCAATGCCTCTCCAGGGCACTATGTGAACCCGTGTCTTCTGAGGGTCAAGGCTAGTTCTTGAGCTCTTCCTCTTCTTGATGTTTAAAATGCCCTTTGAGCTTGTTGTCCTGATTCTTGACCTGTATGGGATTGGTACCCAACCTTCTTCTGTACCTTTTAAAATAACATCGCTTAATCATGGATTGCCCCAGAGCACTTTATGGCTTTATAGTGTCACTTAATTGAAAATGAAATGATGAGGTATGCAGGCTGTGGGATAGGTGGCTCAAGGCTACTGTGTGCTCAAGTCACGTGTGGTTCAGTGGGTGCACTCTGGACTCTGAGACAGCTTTGTCTTTAGTTTCTCTATGGAATCACAGGATAATTTAGGTTGGAGAGGGCATCATGAGATCATTGGGACCATCTACCTGCTCAAGGGCCAACTTAAATTTTGAATATCAGTAAGGATGGGGGTTTCCCACCTCTCCAGGCACTTGTTCTGGTGTTTACCCTTGGGGACGCAGCTCTGTTCTGTTGCCCCTGGTTGTTCTGCTGTGCAGCTCCCAGAAGAGATTGTCCCCCTTTACTTTCTCTTCATGCTGAACGAGCCCAGGTCTCACAGCCTCTCCTTGCATGTCATGTGCTCCAGCCCCAACTACCTTAGTAGCCTCCATTCAACTTGCTCTGATAAGTCAATGTCTGTCCTGTCCTGGGAGTCTCAAGACTAGATCCAATGCTCAAGGTGCAGCTTCACAAGCTCACGAGGTTTCCCAAGGGGAAGCAGCACTTGGGAGGCTGCTGGCCCAGTTCCTGGCCTGAGGATTCCTTACACAAAGCCAAGGCCAAAGCCTCTGATTAGGTGTGGGTTGCCCTGGTTTGGAGGTTACGCTGTCTCCTTGCTACCTCCTGCACAAGAAAGGTCTTGGTGGATTGAATGCATCACCCCTAATTTTCCAGGAGGGTGTTTAGGAGAGGAGACCATTGGGACACAGAAGTCCTTCTTGGCAGAGCATTCCCCGTCTGCTTTCTGCTGTTGATGTCGTGGGGGCTGGTGCAATAGTGTGTCTCACTGGGTTTCCTTCTCGTTTGCAGGCTGTACCAAGCCGTCAAGCTGCTCTTCTCCTTTGGAATTTTCTGCACGTACGCTGTGCAGTTCTACGTGGCTGCTGAGGTCATCATCCCTCCCATCATTGCCCGGGTGTCGGAGCGCTGGGGCTGGCTGGTCAACCTCCTTCTCAGGGCAGCCCTGGTCAGCTTGACCTGTGAGTAGAAAGCAGCTTGTCTGAGTTCCCCTGCGAGGACGTGGCACCTCCTTCATGCTGTGGGTTGGTGGTGCTGAGAGCCTTCACCCCTCTCCTTGCTGCCTCTGACCCTGCTGCTAAAGCCCTTGCAGCAGGGAGTCTCCTGGACCTTGCTAATGCAAGCCAGTGGGCCAAGGTGGCCTCCAAGGAGCAGCAGCAGTGGTCCTCTGCCCCCTCTGTATGGGACTGGTCTTCTCAGTGGAGTAGTAGTAAACTTCCCACTTCATTTAGAGGTGGCAGATCCCCATGGAGTCTCGGGCCTGAGATCCCCCTGATGGCACTTTTGGGGACTATCAGGTCCCATTGAGCTTTGCATGAAACACTCCCAGCACCTGGTCTGGTGCCAGGGCAGCCCAGACTGGAGGCTGTTTTCTGTAGGCAGCATCCAGCCAGGCTCCTTGAGCCTGCCTGATGGGCACGGCTGGAAAGGGGTCACTGACAGGGAGGGAAGGGGTCTTGCTGTATGTGCACACATTGCAGTGTGTAGCACAGCAGAAGACAACTAAAACCAACACATGGCCTATAAACAAAGCCCTGATGAGCCTGGTGGACCTTTGGGTAAGGCGTGGAGCAAACAGGTGCAGAAGTATCTGATTTTGGCTGGCTTTGGTACCTGAAGACTAAATCCTTGCTGTTGTCAGCACAGCTGAGACGCTTGACTGAGCTCCAAGGCGTCATCTGCTGAAAAAGAGCTTTTCTCCATGGCTTGATGCTGCTGATGCACCAGAGTTGAGCATCAGGGACCTGGCCCCCTGTCCCGGTTGGCTTTGGTTTGGATTTGAGAGGAGTGTGATGCTAACTTGAGGGTGGTGGATCTGCCTGAGAGCAGGGTGCTCTGAGATTCGTTAAAAAAATGTTAGACCTTAATGGCCAGACTCTGCTGCCCTTGCTCTTGCTAGTTATTGTGTTATAGAATCATGGAATCATGTAGATTGGAAAAGACTTTGAAGATCATCAAGTCCACCCATTAACCAAACACTGCCAAGTCCACCACAAAGCCATGTCCCTAAGCACCACCTCTACACCTCTTTTAAATACCTCCAGGGATGGTGACTCAGCCACTTCCCTGGGCAGCCTGTTCCAATGCTTGACAACCCTTTCAGTGAAGAAATTTTTCCTAATACCCAATCTAAACCTCCCCTTGTGCAACTTGAGGCCGTTTCCTCTTGCTCCTATCACTTGTTACTTGGGAGAAGAGACCGACACCCACCTCACTACAGCCTCCTTTCAGGTAGTTGTAGAGAGTGATAAGGTCTCCTCTCAGCCTCCTTTTCTCCAGGCTAAACAACCCCAGTTCCAGCCATCCAGCCAGTTTTTTACCCAGCGA